TCTTTCCCTGGTGATTTCACTGCAGCCATCTTGTAGTTCTGCCCCTCCTTCTAGTAAACTCACTCAGGAATAGTTATGCCCTTTTAATGATGACTCTTAAGTTTATAATTAACACTGAAATGTACCATCTGGATAGTTCCCAGACATCTCTGAATTAGTGTTTAAAAAGCACATGCAGGAGTTATCCCTGACTCTACTTGCTCACTCCTGATTCCTATCCCACACACATACAAACACATGCACACACTACACAGGTCCATTTGACCTTTAAATCTTGATTATGTGAAAAGTCCCTGGTAGGTGTGGCTCAGTGGCTGAGAGTAGACCTAAGAACTAGGAGGTCATGGTTCAATTCCCTGTCAGGGCACATGCCCAGTGGGCTATATCCCCAGTGATGGGGCAGGAGTATGAGTGCAGGAGGCAGAGGATCAATGATTCTCATCAATAATTTCCTCTCCATTCCTCTCTGAAATCAATAAAAATATTAAAAATATATATAATACGGGTATGGGTGGGAGGCTGGGAAGAGAACAACCAAAGAACTTGTATGCATATATGCATAACCCATGGACACAGACAATAGGGTGGTGAAGACCTGGGGCAGGGGGTGGGGGGCAGGCTAGAAGAGATCAATGGGGGGGAAAAGGGGACATACATAATCCTTTCAACAATAAAAATTAAAATATATGTGTATTATGTATTATAATTTTCAGGTTACCTGCTTTTCATTTTAATTATAAACTCTGAGGGAAGAACTATTTTTCTGGTTCTTTTTGTTCACTATTCTCATTACCCCTAAGTCACTGGCATATTGTGTTTGATAAATGGGTTTTGAAATGAATTCTTGAAAGCTTGTATTACACTATTTTATTCAAGTACAGTATAATACATGATTTAGCAAATCCTGCATTTCAGTATTGTAGTATAGGCATTAATTCTAAAAGTTAATGTTGCAATAGTTGTCTTTATTTTAGACAGCATATAGTTTAAAATATTTCACTAGTCTTTTAATAGTCAAGGATTTAATCCTGACCAGTGAGTGGGCTTTGTTGGAGCATTGTATTGTACACCAAAAGGTGATGGGTTCAACCAGTTCCCAGTCAGGGCACCCTGGTTTTGAGTTTGATTCCCCGTCGGGGCACATATAGGAGGCAACCGATCAATGTTTCTCACAATATGTCTCTCTTTTCCTCTCTCTAAAATCAGTAATAAAAAACAAACATATAACAGAAGAAAAAATCAATAAAAAATAAATATAAAAAATAAAAAATAAATAAAATATGAACACACACACACACACAAACATTTCCTATTTACAGGATTAAAAATAAAAATAATTTTAAAAGAGTCAAGGATTTAAAATATGAAGGAACCTCAGCCTACTCCAGATCCCACACAGTACAGATCAGCTATAGCTATTCTTATATTTTGTGACATGTAAAAAAATACAGTATTATAAAAATAATACACAGAAAAACTCCCAGTTCTACTCATTTATTTCCATCTTTTGTTTTTCTTCCAATCTTTGTCCCTGTTTCAGATAACAATGAATTCTGCTTTTTATGTTTTACCACTTACGGCATTTATCATGTTGCTACTTAGTCTTACTACATAGTACTTTTTTTTTTAATATATATATTTTATTGATTATTTACAGAGAGGAAGGGAGAGAGATAGAGAGTTAGAAACATCGATGAGAGAGAAACATTGATCAGCTGCCTCCTGCACATCTCCCACTGGGGATGTGTCCGCAACCCAGGTACATGCCCTTGACCAGAATCGAACCTGGGACCTTTCAGTCTGCAGGCCGACGCTCTATCCATTGAGCCAAACCGGTTTCGGCACTACATAGTACTTTTAATTACCTTATACTTATTTCTTGACCTTTTTTAATTACATAGCATTTCATCAAGTTAGTGTATCAAGATTTAACTATTGGAACTTTTCTGTTGTTGAACATTTTAAATCACTTTATTACCTACAATCTTTTTCTGATTAGAAATTAAATGGTCGAGGAAATCCAAATGGGTGTTTTTCTTTTTAAAGTTATTTTAAAAATACATTTCTAGAGTTGATTTACTATAAATGTACATACAGGCATATAAAGGGTCATTTTAATTTATACCCCTTTAATAGCTGGGAAAGTCCAACATTTTTTTCATGTATTTTTACTCTCCATCCTGTGTGAATTCTTATTCTTTGTTAAGCTACTTATTTTTATCTGGATTTTTAAGGTCTTTGTATAACCCATATTTCAGTACTTGATCCTACAAAATATTTCTCCCACTCATTTTTTCTGTTATTTTTCATTAACAGAAATTTAACTTTTTTTAAAAAAATTATCTTTATTGATTTCAGAGAGGAAGGGAGAGAGAGAGAGAGAGAAACATCAATGATGAGAGAGGCATCAATAGGCTGCCTCCTGCACACCCCCTACTGGGGATTGGGCCCGCAACCCAGGCATGTGCCTTGACCGGGAATCAAATCTGGGACCCTGCAGTCCACAGGCCAATACTCTATCTATTGAGCAAACCAGCCAGGGCTAACATGTTTTAATTAGTCATTTTATTTCTTCACAAACTCAAACGAATCATTCCTTTACAGATTAAGAAATTAGCTCTTCAATCCACCTATTTTAATGGGAATAGAGATATAGGTTGTTTGCTAAATTATTAACCAATGTTACCTACACCAAGACAGTTTAATTTTTTAGGCTTACAGAGTTTCTACCCAAGGAGGCAGAGGCCACATTAGGGTGCTGGAAAGGTGGGCGGCTCCTGTCTCCTCAGTCCACATACCCTCCAGGCAAGACAGAGTTACAACCGCCTCTGGCCTTCCACTGACTCGCTTTAGAACTTAAGCTCATTTTAACCTATTTCAACCCATGCCAAAATATTAAAGGGGAAGAAGTAGGAAGACGGTAGCATGCCCTTAGACATAGCTGGCTAAAAGGACGTTCTTAGCCTGCTTTATTACATACCTCCGAGGGATTCAGGTGAAGGTGCAACTGGTATGTCTCACCTGCTGAAGTAAGACTCACTTTGAAAGCCAGCTTTGATTTGTTGGAATCTTTTTTTTTTTAATGAGTTTATTTGAACCAAGCTGATGACATGCTGGAAAGCAAGATCTCAAGTGCTCCCTGGAATGTTCCTTATTTAGACTGCCCATCATTCTTGTTTAGCCTTCTGAAATAAGACATTTAACCCTTGACTTTTGGGGATATTGGAAATCTAGAAGTAAAGATTGTTCAGGAGCATCTGGATACTGACTCTCTTTCCCCAAACTATGAAGGTGTGACCTCAGTGACAACACGATTCATTTCTGAATTTGAGAACCTGTTTTTAAAAAAGTTTCATATTCTTGGTCAAATAAGTTTGGAACTTAATTTTGTGTTAATGTGTGTGAGATTGTTTGTATACCTGTGTCCTCTCTTCCTACCAATATGTAGGTCACCAAAATTAATACTGTTCTCTTCTGATAGCCCTACAAATTTAGAAATAGCTATTATTAATGCTTTAGTTGGTGTCAATTTTGATAACAAACAGTTTCAGATTTGTGGCCATCCAAGTTTCCCTCTAGACCAGCGGTTCTCAACCTGTGTGTTGTGACCCCTTTGGCAGTCGAAGGACCCTTTCACAGGGGTCGCCTAAGACCATCCTGCATATCAGATATTTATATTACGATTCATAACAGTAGCAACATTACAGTTATAAAGTAGCAACGAAAATAATTTTATGGTTGGGTCACAACATGAGGAATTGTATTTAAAGGACCAGAAGATTGAGAACCACTGCACAAAATTCTAATTTATTAGTATTTTCACAGTATCCATGTGACATCTATTGTCTTAGTGTCCTTCATTGTCTCTAAAAGAGTGATGATATATTTCCCTTCCTAAAGTCTAGAATTAATTGAATATTACTGAAAGTTGCTTAGAAAATACTACTTTAACAAGCCAATCCAAATCTCTTTCAGGACAGTTATATGATGGCTATGATGAAGAGTATGACTGTCCTATTTTAGATGAAGATAGAGTAAGTATGAATTTTAAAATAAAATACACATTAAAAAATTTTAATTGGAAAGTTGACATCAGTTTTTTTAAGGAGCACTCACCCTTTTCCCCTCCCGCCCCCTTTCTTATAGGTAGTTGATGAGTTAGAAAACCAAATGAGTGAAGGTGGAGTTATTATTGATTACCATGGTTGTGATTTCTTCCCTGAACGCTGGTTTCATATAGTTGTTGTGCTGAAAACAGAAAACAGCATATTGTACAAAAGACTTGAAACAAGGTAAGGAAGGGGATACATTGAATTCTTAAAGTATAATATAAACTTCTATTCAGATTCAGAAATTGGCCAATGTGATTATTTGGTCTCTACCAACATTCTGAATGTAAGAGAAAAAGGTGCTTACAAAAGATACATACAAATGCCTGTATAATGCAGGCATTTGTATAACTGAGTGAATACCTCAACTAATAGTTTGATTTAAGTGAAATGTACTATGTAGCAACCTTTTTAATATGCTTTTTCCATAATGCAAAACCTTGCTAGGAAAACAGCCAAGCCAATAACATATTCTTTGCTATTGAATGAAAATTACCCAAATTATTATATTTGAGGCCTGGCTGATGTGGCTCATTGTTTGAGTGGGAATCTATGAAGCAGGAGGTCATGGTCTGATTCCCACTCAGGGCACATGCCCAGGTTGCAGGCTCCGTCCCGTTGGAGGGGTGCAGGAGGCAGCCAATTAATGATTCTCATCATTGATGTTTCTGTCTTTCTCTCCCTCTCCCTTCCTCTCTGAAATCAATAAAAATATATTTTAAAAATATACATATTTGACTTAGTCCTCCAAGAGAGAGTTACAATCCAGAATAACAAAAAAACAAAACAAAAAACAGAACCATTTTTGAGGAAAACATTTTCCCACTGTCTTCTTTTTTTAAATTTTAAATGTAGCTCAGTTGATTAGAGCATCTTCCCAATACACCAAGGTTGCAGGTTTGATCAGAGGACATAAAAGAATTAACCAATGAATGCATAAATAAGTGGAACAACAAATCAATGTTTCCCTCTCTTTCTTTCTCTCTCCTCCCATCAATAAAAAAATTTACTGTTTTTTATAAATAGCCAAAGATTAAGGCATGAAAAAACTATGAGAGCTAGTCTTTTTGTTTTTAGCCTTTGAAAAAGTTAAAGTAATTACTATTTTTAAAAAAAGACAGCTCTATTGAGATAAATTCACATATCATACAATTTACCCATTTGAAGTGTACAATTCAGTGGGTTTTAATATATTACAGAGCTGTGCATCCATTACTACAACCAACTTTCTTATTTTTTTAAAATATATTTTTATAGATTTCAGAGAAGGGAGAAGTAGAGAGAGAGACATCAGTGATGAGAGAGAATCATTAATTGGCTGCCTCCTGCACACCCCCTACTGGGGATCGAGCCTGCAACCTGGGCATGTGCCCTTGACCTGAATCGAACCTGGGACCCTTCAGTCTGCAGGGCGATGCTCTATCCACTGAGCCAAACTGACTAGGGCACTACAACCAATTTTCAAAAATGTTCATCACCCCCTACACACAAAAAAAGGCGTCTTTTCATAAAATTAATCATCTTTTAAGTAGTTCCATTTAATTTTTATTGTTACAAGATTTAACTAATTCAAGTTTGAATTTTCTTTATAATTTTCACTAGCTAATTGTTTGGCTAATTTATATACTGCCTAAAGATTACTTGTTTATTTTTTCCATGTCTTTGGAATTTGTAAAGTAGAAATACATTTGTGTGATCAAATACCCAAATTAGTATATAGTATTTCAATCATATGCATTTCATTTTATTATATGCCATCTATTTGTTTCATCTGTCTACATCTTAACTCCTCTAATTCTGTTTAAAATCTAGGACCATATCTATAGACTTCTTATTTATCTCATAGCTCAGAATCTGGCTTGAGATAGGTATTTTTGCTAAGTGATTGACATAAAGTCAGGGGGAAATAAATTTCAGACAAACCTAAACATTGGTCTTTAGTTTAATGCTCCTGTCAAAGAAGTCCCTCATTATAGGTGCCAGGCTATTTTCTATAGGTAAGGAGACTACAAGAAGTATTTCTGCATGATTTTTCATGTATTCCAAAGTGTCCAGTTTCTGGTATGTTCGTAAAACTCCAATTAATGCCATTTGTTTGCTTATCTTCTCTCTGCTTTCTAGGGGTTATAATGAGAAGAAACTAAAAGATAATGTTCAGTGTGAAATTTTTCAAATTCTTTATGAAGAAGCATTAGCATCCTACAGCGAAGACATAGTGCATCAGCTGCCCAGCGATAAACCAGAAGATCTAGAGAATAATATCGATCAGATATTGAAGTGGATTGAGCAATGGGTCAAAGATAATAGCTCTTGACTTACAAGACTGGCCACTTTATAATCACTCTTAATATCTCTCTGCCCACATCATATAAATGATGCATTTATTAGTAAACCTTTTTTATTAAAATTGTGCTGCAGGACTAGTAGGTGGACAGTATAAAGGTTTATATTTGGGTGTGTTTTTTTCCATAAGAAAGTATAATGAATATAACTTTATTAACATGTTAAGTGCCCAGCCTGTTTTCTCTTTCATATGGAAAGTATAGTGTCAGTCACTGGTGACTGACTGGGCGCTTAACGCGTTAAAGATTGAGAATAAAAACTGTCATTGTTTAATGCTTCAATTGCTAAAGTATAAATAAACCTGACCAAATGTGTGGGAGGATATCGTTTAAGTTTATTAAAGAAGAAAATGAATATGATCTCGTAAAATAAAATCTAAATATAAAGCACCAGAGTTTCCATTTTTTATGTATTCCCTATTAAGGTAAGGAGGGGTGGACATATTTATCTATATATATAAAAGCCTAATATGTTAAGTGTCCAACCCATCGGTCAACTGCTCGACCAGTCACTATGACATGCACTGACCACCAGGGGGCAGACACTCCGACTGGTAGGTTAGCTTGCTGCTGCGGTCTGGCTGATTGGGAGTGGGCAAGAAGGGCCAGACATGCCTGGAGCCAACCTCCCGCGGTCCCTCCCTGGCCTCTAAAATATTTCTTCTAATTAATTTCCTTTCAATATGCATGAATTTGTGCACTGGGCCTCTAGTACTCTATAAAATGCAAAAGGTACAAAGTATACTGGAAAGGTAGTTTCTCTTCTAGGCCATCCCTGTTCTTCACCCATCCCACATCACCTCCCTTTGGGACATAATGTTACCTATGTTTCTCTTCAGATATTTAATGCCTGCACAGTGTGTGTACACATTATTTTAAACATGTGGTAGCATACCATGTTCCCTATTTTTTTCATTTAATATATTTTGGAGATTATACAATCCTAGAATCTACATACCTCCGTATCCTTTTTTAAAAAATTGTCCGGCTGGTGTGGCTTAGTGGTTGAGTGGCAACCTATATACCAGAAGGTCACGGCTTGATTCCTGGTCAGGGCACATGCCCTGGTTTCTTTGGGCTCAATCCCTAGTGGAGGGTGTGCAGGAGGCAGCCAGTCAATGATCCTCTCTCATCATTGATGTTTCCCTCTCCCTTCATTTCTGAAACCAATAAAAAATATATTTAAAAAATAAATTAAGGTATAATTCACATACCAGAAAATTGACCATTTTAAAGAGTATAATCCACTAGTTTTTGTCATATTGACAAGACTGTACAACTATCTAATTCTGTAACATTTTCATTACCCCATCAAAAATAAGTACCATACCTGTTAGCACTCACTTCCCTTTCTTCCCTTCTCCCAGCTCCTTGCTATCACTAATCTTTGTCTACATGGATTTGCATATTCTGGACATTTCATATAAATGTAATCAATTCAATATGTGGCATTTGTATCTGGCTTCTTAGCATAATGTATTCAAGGTCATCCATAATGTAGCCTATATCAGTACTCTATTTCTTGTTATGTGGAATAATATTCCACTGTATGGCTAAACCACATTTTGTTTATCCATTCCATCAGTTACTTTGGGTTGTATCTACTTTGGGTATTGTGAATTATGCTATGAATATTTGTGTACAAGTTTTATGTGGATATATGTTTTTAATTCTCTTGGATATATTTCTAGGAAGGAAATTGCTGGGCTAAATTGCAACTGAGTTTAATTTCTTGAGCAAATACCAAATTTTTCAGAAGTGGTTGCATTACTTTACATTCCCACCATCCATGTATTAGGTATCTAATTTCTCCACATCCTTGCCAACACTTGCTACTGCTCATAATAGCCATCCTGTGGATATATTATCATATTTCGTTTTGTTCTGATTTACATTTCCCTAATGACTAATGATGTTGAGCCTCTTCATGTGCTCAACCACTGAGCCACACCAGTTGGTGGGCATGAACGGCTGTTTTGAAAAGACTATGCTGTTTTGAGAAGTCTATTATCTTTTCACTAATAGGATTCATTAAATTCTCTTGCTAATCAAGTGATTGCTCATTAACTAATATTGACTCATAATAATAAATGAGATTTCCCTTAAACAGATGGGAGATACTGGAGTCTAATACAGAGCTACACATATTTTATGAATTTTATAAATATTAATATGCTCACCAACTCAGCCTAGATTTCATGTGAAACTAGTGACAATGCTTTAACACCCTATAATTGTCTTAAAAATAACGTCATTTACTGTTTGTCTCTAGTTTTAGTCAAACCTATTTGTAAACTTTTTGTTTAAAAGGGATGATTTAAATCAAATTTAAGAAATAAGTGTGTGGGCCCTGGCCGGGTGGCTCAGTTAGTTAGAGCATTGTCCCAATACACGAAGGTCTCAGGTTCAATCTCCAGTCAGGGCACGTACAAGAACCAACCAATAAATGCATAAGTAAGTAGAACAACAAACAATGTTTCTCTCTCAAATCAATAAATAAAATAATATAATGAAATAAAAAGGATAAGTTTGCCAAATTTTTAATCATTTTATAATTCTGTAAATCAGACTTCTTAATATAATTTATTCAGTTTCCCAAGAGTGCCTTCAGATAATAAGCTTTGGCATATGCATAACCAATTATTTCTTTCCCTTATACCCTTTTTGCTATATTTTTATTTTGTGTGCTTTGAGATAGGGGTTTGGCCTTACTTCAGCTATATTTCTTCGGCATTGTCCTATCACCAATCCTTACTAACATTTAAATTTGTTTTTAACACAAAAGTGATAGGGGTCAAAACGGCTGAGAACTGTTTATTCTTTCCTATGGAGTGGGAAGAGGGCAAGGTAAAAAAAATCACTTTTTAATAATTTTAATAGCTGTATATGTGAGAAACAATATGAAAATTCTTTATATATACCAAGGCTTTTACTTAAAATTTAGTTCCCTAACCCTTTTAATGACATAAATCTAGTGACAGTCTGATGTAAGCTATAAACACACTTCCTCCAAAAAGATATACATATTACTACAAAATGTTGCTTATTTATTTTTCAAAGATTTACAGACACCTGAAATCCATCCAGAGGTTCATTGTTTAAGGGGTTAATTTTTATGGAAGGGGATTAAAAAATAATTTGTGAAACAAGACTAGTGAATAGAAAAGCATATTGGTCATCCTGGAGGTCCTAGCCAGTGGATTAAGCAAGAAAATAAAGACACGCAGAGCTGAAAGAAATAAACTATTCTCAGTCAACATGATTACCTATGTAGAAATTCCAAATAGAATCCACACAAAA